ACACACACACCGACCCACACACCGACCCACACACACACCGACCCACACACTGACCCACACACACACACTGACCACACACCACACACACACGACACACACCGACCCACACACACACACACTGACCCACACACACACCGACCCACACACACCACACACACACACACGACACACACACACGACCCACACACACACCGACCCACACACACACACACTGACCCACCACACACACCGACCCACACACACACTGACCCACACACCGACCCACACACACACCGACCCACACACACACCGACCACACACACACACACCCACACACACACCGACCCACACACACACACTGACCCACACACACACACTGACCCACACACCGACACACACCCCACACACCGACCCAACACACACACACCACGACCCACACGACCCACACACTGACCCACACACCGACCCACATACTGACTCACACACACCGACCCCCACCCACACACCGACGCCCACCCCTATTGACCCCCACCCCTATTGACCCCCACCCCCACACAGTCACCCACACCCCCACTGAACCCCACCCCAACTGACCCCACACATCCTGTCCCCCACACACAGTGACCCGCACCCCCACACACAATGAGCCACACACTGACCCAGAAGCCACACACACTGACCCACACACTGACACTGACACACACACACTGAAGTCACATTTATTACACACACTGACACACACTAACACACAGACTGACAGATACACTCATTACACACACACACACAACAGCAGCAACAAAATTACAATTGTCCGACGCCTTTCACGGACGTCCCAAGGAAATTCTGAGTTTCGGACATAAGCTTGGGGTCAGGGTCGGGATCTGGGGAGTGTGGAGAGCGGGGGGGTGGGGGGGGGAGCAGGGTGATCGAAAGCGCAGTTAAAGACGAGGGTCTTGAGATGGGTCTTGAAGGAAGCGGGCGAGATGGAGGATCTGCGGGATGGAGTTCCAGAGGGTGGGGGCAGAGCGGCGGAAGGCCCGCCCGCCAATAGTGGAGCGAGCGAGGCGGGGGACGTGAAGCGGGCCGGAGCCCACTGAGCAGATGGAGCGGGCAGGATGGTGGGCAGGATAGTTAGGCGGTCGCAGAGATAGAGGGGAGCAAGACCCATGGAGGGCTTTGAAGGTGAGGAGGGGGGCGATAGGGTCACGGAGCCGGTTGCGGGAGAGGACGCGGGCTGCAGAGCTCTGGATGATCTGCAGCCTATATGGAGGGAAAAGTTGGGGAAGCCGACAAGCGGGGAGTTTGCGTAGTCGAACCTGGGTGTTATGAATGCGTGTATGAGGGTCTCAGCGGCCCGGGGTGTGAGACGGTGGCGGAGCCGGGCGACGTTGCGGAGGTGGGGGAAGGCAGAGCGGGTCATGGCACAGATGTGGGGTAGAAATAGTTGAGGAGGTTCCGGACTGGCTAAGTAAGTGTGACTGACACACACACACACTAATACACTGACACACACACACACTTATACACTGACACACACACACCCTAATACACTGACACACACACACTTATACTGACACACACACACTTATACACTGACACACACTTATCCACTGACACACACACACTTATACACTGACACACACACACTTGTACACACACAGACACACATTTATATACACACACACACAGACAAACACTTATACACACACACACTTGTCCACGCACAGACACACACACTGATACATACATACACACATACATACATGTGTGTATACACACAGACGGCTGGAAGCACCCGCTGTGTGTGTGGCTGTGTGGGTGGGTGTGTGGGTGGGTGGGTGCCTCACGGTGCCCGAGGGGCCTGGCTCCCCGGGTGGTGGTTTCGTTTAGCTTTTCCAAGCGGTTCGTTACAGTCTGGTTCGGTGAAGGTAAGACGGGAGGTGGTCGGTGAGGGAGGGGGAGGGGGAGAGAGAGCGTGGCTGTGTAAACAACCACTTCATTCCTCCCCTCCTTCCTCCTCCCCTCCCCCTCCCTCTCTCCCCTCTCTCCCCCTCCTTCCCTCCCCTCTCTCCCCCTCCTTCCCTCCCCTCTCTCCCCCTCCTTCTCTCCCCTCTGTCCCCCTCCTTCCCTCCCCTCTGTCCCCCTCCTTCCCTCCCCTCTCTCCCCTCCTCCTCCTCTCCCTCTTACCATCTGATATATTTTACAAGAAGGCACACACACAAACTGCACTCCGGCAGCTCCTCACCCTGTTGCGCAGCCTCTCCTTCCTGGGCTCGTAATAACTCGTGCATTTAAACCGAAAGAGAAAACACGAAGCTCAGGGAGGAGGGGAGGGGAGGAGGGGAGGGGGTGAGCCCGAGGAGGAGGGACCCGCCTGTCGCTGCCACATCAGCCGCTCAGCTCCGGACTCACCGCCTCCTGACATGACAGTCAGTCCCGGGGTTACAGCAGCCGCAGGCGCAGCATTCGCGGCATTACAACGTGGTGTCGGCGGCTCGGGTTCCAGCGCCGCCCCCTCCCCTCTCGCCCACCCCTCGCCCCCTCCCCTCTCGCCCACCCCTCGCCCCCTCCCCTCTCGCCCAGCCCTCGCCCTGTCCCCTCATGCCCCCTCCCCTCTCACCCAGCCCTCGCCCTGTCCCCTCTCGCCCCCTCCTCATCCACCCCTCGCCCTGTGTCCTCTCGCCCCCTCCTCGCCTTCCTATCGCCCCCCCCCTCTCACCCATCCCTCGCCCTGTCCCCTCACGCCCTCTCTCGCCCACCCCTCGCCCTGCACCCTCCCCTCTCACCCAGCCCTGTCCCCTCTTGCCCCCTCTTCTCTCATCCACCCGTTGCCCTGTCCGCTCTCGCTCCCTCCCTTCTCACCCAACCCTCGCCCAGTCCCCTCGCCCCCTCCTCTCTCATCCACCCTTCACCCTGTCCCCTCTTGCCCCCTCCCCTCTCACCCAGCCCTCCCCATCCCCTCTCGCCCCCTGCCCTCTCTCCCCTAGCCTCTTCCCCTCCCCAAGCTACACCAGCAGTTCCCCCCCACCCCAATCTGCCCATAATCTACTTGGCTAACATCCAGTGGTCATGCCAACAGCAGTGCCCCCTGACTCCTGGCCATGTGTAGCAACACCAACTTACATAGCAACTCTCGGAAAACACAAAATACAGTCCATTCACCTTACAGTATATTCTGTGAAGCATTTTGAGAAGTGATAAGACACTATATCAACTGCAAGGATTATTATGGCACTAACTCCAAAGGGTTAATAGACAGCTCAGATACATGCCAGGCACTGACTTACTGAGTTGCAGTCAGCCAAGGGCATGAATGATACTAACTCACCAAGTGGCAGAACACAGCTCTAAACCAGCATGGCATCAATTAAACTAACCATACCTCAACTCTAAGGCTCACCGAGAAGTACCGATCAGCATCAGGAAATGAGTGGTAAGAACACATTAAACAATGGTGACCTGTTGCAGGAAGCCAATGCCACTAACTCGCTGATCAGCAAAGCCTGGCTCCAGGAATACCCATGGCTCTGATACACTCACTAGTTCCAAGGCGAGTGAGGAATACACTTGGCTCAGATACACTCTACTAGTTCCAAGGCGAAAGAAAGAAGCAGCCTCTGGGATACGTGGCAGTGACTGAACAGCAAGATGACTGGACGATATTACTAATACTGTTAACTGGGTGTGTTGGGTGTGTTCAGCAGCTAATTGAATAACTTCAAAACATGCTCCAGTGACATTTTATGGCATTCTCAAACCAATGGTGGTTAAGGTGTGGACAGTTAAGGTGTTAAGGTGTTTGTTAAGGTGTGGACAGTGATAAGCTGCAGAAATGGGCCTGGTAATGGAGTCATCAGCAGCAGAGACATGGATGGTCCTGATTGCACAGTACAGAAATATAAAGCAGCCCGGGTCAAATCCAGAACACTTAATGCATCAACAAATTTAGTGGCAGGGTTCACTGGAGATATGCATTACACTGAGCTATGTTTCTTGATAACTTGGGTGTTTCCTGTTATATTAACTCTCCTTTCAGATTTTTTTTAGTTCATTGAGTTAATCCCTGTTTTCTTCTTTCATTTTCTTTAAAGTTCCTTTAAAGTTTTTTTCAAGTTTAGGTCTTTTGTCTGTATTTTGCTGAGTTTCAGGAAGATAAAATGTCACTCCTTTTTTTAGGTACAGGGTTATCACATGGGCCTATTGCACGGATTTTTTATTTATTAAGAGTTCTGAGAAAAAGGTTTGATTATGTACTTGGAATACTGCACTGTAGATAAATTATTATCTTGATGTGCATGTCTGTAAACACAATTTGGCTTTTTGCATTTGCTGTTGTTATTAACAGTGGATCTACCAGATAAAATACTGTCAAATATAAGTGCAAGGGAAGGGGTAAAGAGGGGGGAAAGTGTGAATGAGAGAAGGGAATAGAGGGGATTATGTGTGATTGAGCAGGAAGCAGAGGTGAAATAATGAGTGAGAGGAAAGGGAACAAGTGTGAAAGGTGTAATTTAGAGTGGGACAGAGACAGGAAGTGAGGGAGGGAAATGCAGAAAATATACACAAACAGGAAACAACAACGATTTGTCCACGCAGGGTAGCATCTTAGAGCGGTCTCTGAGTCGGGGGAATGGGGGGACATGATCGTAAACACAGTCAAAAGGGAAGGTTTTCAGGCGGGATTTAAAAAAGGGGGGCGAGGGGGAGGGATTGAGGGAGAGTGTTCCACAGTTTCGGGGCATAGTGGCGGAAATAATGACTTCCAATAACAATAATCCTTGCATTTGATATAGCGCTTTTCACGTCGGGAGGACGTCCCAAATCGCTTCACAGAACACACTGTAAAGTGAATTGACTATATTTGTGGGCGAACGCGGCAGCCAATTGCGCACAGCAATGTTCCACAGTCGTAGATTGAAAATGACCAATTTATTATTGTTTTTTGGTTTTGGAGGAATTATTATTAGGCGTGTGAAGTAAGGAAACTTGCCCAAGGTTTCACCCTGCATGGTGGAGCAGAGGGTGCAAGGGGCAAGTAGGAGGCTGGTGCCAGTTGAGCAGAGGTGCCAGGTGGTGGATTGGGGAGTGAGGAGTTCAGAGAGATAGGGAGGTGCCAGGGAGTGAATGGCTTTGAACACAAGTGTGAGGATCTTGAAATCAATCCGTTCGGTGATGGGGAGCCAGTGTAGCCTGGCCAGAACTGGTGAGATGGAGGTACGGAAATTGGTCTCGGTCAGTATGCGGGCAGCAGAGTTCGGAATGAGCAGGATTTTTTGAATAGTGCAGCTGGGGGGTCTGGCAGGGAGTGCAATTTGAGTAATCCAGGCGGGATAACAGGCTCATTCACCGTTCAGGATACATACGGGTATATATTAATCACTTCTCTGAATAGAATTTGCATCAACTATTGCAAATGATATGGAGTCAGATGTAATTACATCGATCACATCCCACTATTACCAGGAATCAAAATACAGTCCATGTTGCTTTCAAACATGAGATTGATAAATTCAATAGTAGGCTAGCCTACAGGTCTGTTACAAACTTCTCTATCCAATCGCTTTTTAAAGATGTTGCTCGGGATAGGACAATGCAAGCCAACAGATTGGAGTTATATAGCCAGCTTCACATCGCTCGATTTGGGCTCAGAGAAAGTAAAGCGTCTAAAATCAGCAGTGCTGTGGGTTATTCAGCAATTAAGATCCGAAAAACAATCCACATGAAAAAANTCCTTTCTTCAAGCATAATGAATTTTCTGTGAAGCGCTTTGAGACATCTCAAAGACGTGATAGGACACTATATCAAATGGAAGAATTATTATTATTTGAAAACATGAAAATTCTTGCAGAATTGAAACCTTTTCATGGCAGGAGGTTAGAGAAAGAGAAAGATAACTTATGTGTCAGTTATTCCTTGTTATCTCTGGTTGAGTCATTGTGTCCCTAGCCCCTTGTTAACAATTTGAGGCACTCATCATCTCTAAACTTTTAACTAAATAATATTTACAATTCTTGTAAAATATTGATAAAATGACTGTTCACATCAAAAATGTGGGATCGAGATAAGCATAAGAATATGCCAGATTATCATTTGAATTCTCAATAGTCTAATTCTTGTTAGATTTGGGGTTGGTTTGTGGGCTGACAGTTCTAGCCATAAGTATACAATGGCTGTTCAGATATTCGTAAATTGGTGACATTTCAGGATTAATTTACAATTTGTGATCAAGTAACTTAGAATCAGGTTAAGAGATAAACTGAGGGGCATTGCTAATAACAGTTTACAGTATTTATTTTTTAAAAAGTTTACTATGTCACTTCTGAGAATGTCTCGAGTGTTTCGACATTTAATTTTCCTTCCCTGTTTCCAGCTGAATCCCCCCATCTAGTTGAATATCTGTTCTCTTGATGAAAAAAAATCACTTTGTTTCATGAGAAAATAAATAATTTTCTATTTCAACTTTGCCAATTTATATGGCAATGTGAAAGGTGCACAGGCCTTGTTTTTCTGGATCCCAGTATTTTGGCTGACAGCCATAGAGTTTAGCACTAAAGCAAAGGTCCTGTGGTTGAACTGAGGATCACTTTGTATTCTTATTATAAAACTCCAATCTTGTTTAAATAAACATGTTATATACTCACTGGAGTGCAGTTACCCAAACAGCAAGGCCAACAAAGATAATGCTGTCCAAATACTCTAGGTTATTAACCTGTTATAGCATTTTGTTTTGTTTGTGCTCACCATAAGACGTACTTATTTATTCAGCGAGGTGAAGGTTAAAGCTAGAAGTTTGAGTTAACTCAAATTGCTAAGTTAATACAATAGCATTCAGGGATAGAGCAGCTATTCCTCCTGCACCTTTCAGAGTATTTGCTCTCTGCATGCCTCACCACCACCTGTTATAATTAACTATGTAATATTCTATTGTATAATATTTAGATTATTGTATATTATTAGAGTTCTACATTAAAGAATTTTGCAGAAATAATAATTCTTGCATTTGAGCGCTTCACTGAATATGCTATAAAGTGAATTGACTGTTTGTTAAATAATCCCTTCAATTTTTTAAAATTTGGTCACTCAATCCACGATTATTTGTGGGACACTGCTGTCTGCCAAATTCTACAGCTCCACGATTAAAATACTAAAAAAAATACAAAACTTCCTTAAAACAGAATAAAAACAGAGGAAACACTGAGTCATAAAACTTTTAAATAATTTAGAAAATTAAAACAGCATTATATAAATTGGGATTTTTTTTCTAACAAGTAGCAAAAACATCACTTAATAGAAATGAAATAACCAATTTTCATTATTTATTTTTTAAGTGTTTATATGTGGCAATAATCAAATTCTAAGTTATTAATAATTAATCCTGGTGAAATGTGAAACTTGTGGTTTGGGTTTAGTTTTACATTGAGTCAACTTCAGTTTAACTGCATATGAGGAAACTGTATATGAAGAAAGTTTGAAGGTTTCCATTACTATTATGCACAATAGTGGCCTGGAAATGTTTTTCTCCTAATGTGAGCTCAGAGTTTAGAAACATGTGCCTTATTGTTCAAGCACATATCTTGAGAATGCCCTCAGACAATTTTGTAATCCCTTCCCTGTACTAGTTACCTTGTCACACACAAAGGATGGAGTGTGGGACATTCTAGTTTGTTTGACTCTGTACCACTGTACATAAATCACAATTGGAGCTTCAATTTGACACATACCCAGAAGCCTTTTTGGTTAGGCTAAGCTCATTTGTAACTCCTGTGTTGGGTAATACTCTGCTTTAAGATCAATCCAGATCCTTTTTCCTACCATCAGTGACAATTTTCCGTACGTTGATTTGCACAATCAGTTCAAATATAAGCAAAAAACCTGTTTTCTTGATGACAATACTATGAGGGAATTTCCTGTTAGAAAATTTCCAATTCTTGGCAGCATCCACTTTTTAATTATAAGCACATAATGCCAATTCCAGGAACCATGAGTCACTTACCTTTATCTTTTGGTTACTATATTGTGTCAAAGTAACTGACAAGGGTTGGGGTTAAATTTAGATAGATGGATAACATTAGTGTGGTCTCTGACATATTTACATGTATGTAATAATAGTTGCCATTGCAGTATCTGAAGTATTTAATAAAACAATGCAAAATTCATTAGGATCACTGGAGTCAGAGGAGATATTAGGACTTACTTAATGTAGGACCTAATAAGTTGAGTGCTGTATTGGTTAGAGCACTTGCCTCACAAGCAAGAGGACCCGGGTTTGATTCACCCCGAGCAGAGAGAAAATTTCCTTATTCCACACACCTGTTTACCTCGCAGTAAGTAGAAAGTAAGTAAGAAGTTAGTTGATTGGCGGGTCACTTTCCGGGGATAATAATCATGACAAAAAAATAAAATAATTTGGTCACCATAACTGTTTGTGGGTCATTGCTGTGCGCAATTGGCTGCTGTGTTTCACCCACAAAATATAGTCATTTCGCTTGACACTATATTCTGTGATGTGCTTTGAGACATCTCGACGATGTGATATGGAACTATATCAAATGCAAACATTAATATTTATGTCAAAGTAGAGAATTTAGGTTTCTGCTGTGTAAATGAGACCTAAAATATCACATGGTTTTAGCCTTAAGATTATTGCTTTCAAATTTAAAATTGTACAGAATTTTGGAAATTTTGGGGGGTTTAGAAGTCGGTTTTCTAGTGAAAATCAGCTTCCAAATTAGGGGTAACTTTAAGAATTCTTTAAAAATTCTGCACAATCTAAATTTTAAGAGAGAGACCTGAGTTCAATTCCAGGCAGGGCGAAACCTTGGGCAAGTTTCCTTACTCCACACGCCTAATAATAATCCCTCCAAAACCAAAAACAATAATAAATTGGTCATTTTCAATCTACGACTGTTTGTGGGACATTGCTGTGCGCAATTGGCTGCCGCGTTTGCCCACAAATATACAGTCAATTCACTTTACAGTGTGTTCTGTGAAGCGCTTTGGGATGTCCTCCTGACATGAAAAGCGCTATATCAAATGCAAGGATTATTATTATTATTATTATTATTATTATTATTTAACACTAAGAACTTGCAATTTTTTAGGCCTCCTGCTGTCTGCACTATTTCTACTGTCAGTGCAAAGTAGGAACAAATGCTATCTGCAAAGGTCAAGTAGCTTACTTCTGGTAGATAAGGTAGCAATTATCAATAATTATAGTTGCATGCTAATTTCTGTCAGTAGAAAAAGTTTTCTACCAGCAGAAATATTTGTGTCATCATAGTGACAAGTTTTGGAGAATACTTGTTTTTCTTCAAAACAGGTTGAAAATCTGCCAAATGTACCTTCCACCTGCAACATACACCCAACCTGAAATGATACTCTCCTAAAATTACACCCTGTAAAACACAGGATTCTTTGTTTTGTTTTTTTGGCAAGAAAGTACACATATTTGAATCATTTTAACAAATCACTAATGAACCAAGTTTCTTTTTTGGGGGAGAAGCTTATTTTCCATATTCTCTTTCTAATCTCTCTGCTATGTACTGTTGACTAGCCAATGGAGTGGCAACATGCTGGAGGTCTCTGCCAGTGCTATTCTAACTAGCCACAAGGAGGCGGTCTACATGATAGCTGATATAGAAATATTTAATTTCTCCTCAGTGCTGGAGCTGATATCAAGATTGAGATCAGAATCTTATCATATTGGAGGTATCAGGGTTGAATCTCAGTTATTGTAACTCTGCGAAGTAGTAGAAAACCACTTTAGAGGAGGCCGTTTCATTTTCGAAATGTGTAAAAGTGGAACATCATGAACAAATAGGCCAAACTTCCAAAGAAAGCTGAGGTCTATTATTTGAAGAGGAAAATAGCTATAAATCATCCGTGTTGGCAGTGTGAATGGGAGAAGAGAGTCATTATCTGATTAAGCGTTTTACTTCCAAAATATCTAGACCTGTTCTCCACTTGGATGTCTGTTCAAATTAAGATAGAAGTCTTGAGCTGGATGTGAACATAATAATTCAATGAATAAAAACAGGCAGAGTATGCACAGACTTCACTGTGACAAAAGCCAAGCCCGGTTCTAAAGGCAGTACAAGAGAGCGACAGAGCTTATCTCCACTGTTGAGTAAATGAGTAATGAAGAACAATTAAACTAGGCTCTTTCATCTCAAAAAGTGACATCTGGGAAGGGACCTTATAGGAAGTATATAAGATGTGTAATGGGAATAAAGAAAGCAAACCTTGAATACTTTCATGTACACTAAGCGAGCAGCACAGGTTCAGGATTGTGAAGGACAAGTTTAGGACAAATACCAGGAAGTATTTTTTTAAACAGAATGTAATTAACAGCTGGAATGGGAATAGTTGAGGTCTGGTCACCAGACTCATTTATGAAAGTTTGATGCCGTGATGGTAAATATAGTATTAGTATGATTAGTATTCTGTAAGAATGAGATTAAATTGGTTGATGAATCACCTTCAACTGAATCTCTCTTTTGTGATTTTTTGTGTGGAGTAAATGGAACTGTTATATTCTATCTGTATATATACATATATATATTTTAAAAATTGTACATTGTCATTCTGGGAAGGAAACATCATACACAGTGTGGTCAAAGGTTCATTCACAATAAACACGAAAAATATAAATTTGTTTGTGTCACATTAAGAAAATGTTTTTCGCCCATTTCATCCTCTTTATTCAAACATCATCGTGTTATGTGGAATTATCATATGGGCAACAGACACAAGATTAGAAATGTAATTTACTGAATACACCTTCAAACAAGTCAAAGTGGGGATTATTGATGATCAATTCAGGCTGCGTGCAATGTTCTGAAGTGTTGTGGACCCGAAACGTTGACTCACTTTCCTTTCTCCATAGATGCTGCCTGACCTGCTGACTTTTCCCAGCTCTGCTTTTGTTTCACTCTAAATGTCCAGCACAATTTTTTGCATGATAAATACATAATGTTGTATAACCCAGAGGAAAAATTAAAAAAAGGAAAATGATTGATTGAAATTGAAGATTACAAAGTAACAGTAAAGATTTTTTTTAAATCTTAGTTTTCCAGTCAATTAAATTTCGATTAGAATTATGTAATTTATTAGGAGTGAATAGAACTGCTATGACATTAGTTAAGATTGCTATTAAAACAGAATCCAGCTCAAATATTAAAATGAAAAGATCACTACACTTAAGTCTTATTATGTGCAATGTTCTGAGATTCAAACACATTCTGCTGTCTCTTGACTATACTTAATTAATCCATGTTGTTGCTACTGCATTAAGCTATTGATTAATAATAGAAACGTTTCAGCCACTGCCCAGATTTCCAGAAACCATTGCCAGGGAATGTTTACCTCACATCTTCAGACTGCAGAATGGCCAATGAGGTTAGGTTTTTTTTTTTGCTTCCCTGATCTTCAACATAAGCTGTCAGCTTGTTTGGAGCTGGAGCAGAGTGGAAGACACAGACAATGGTGAAAAACAGATGTGAAGGAGGTTCTCAAGTACGTTTTCAATTGTAATACTGGTGGGAAGGGCTGTGAAGAAATAGAAGAACATCAAAACGCACAGGAAATCATGAATTAACAGTGATCCGAACAGGAGAAAAACCTGAAGATATCGGTTAAAATATTTGTACAATAAAAGTCAGATAAAACTTGTGTTCTATTGTACTTGTGAATTAATTACATTTCTGCCAACATAACAAACAAGGTTTTGGGGATGCTGGAGAGGATACACAACCTTTTGTAAGCTTCTGTTTAATGTTGATAAAGGTTGGTTACAGTGAAAATCCACTGTTACACAGGACAGTACTTTCTGAAAAAAGTACAAGATCAGCATCAACTAATTCTCAATTGGCAAAATTAGAGAAACAACATCAGGCCACATGACATTGTATTGTATTGCAAAGAGCTTGATGGCGAGAACGCATACTGCTAACAGTGGTGAATGGATTAGTGGGTGAATATACTTAAAGCCAAATGTGAATATTTTATATGAATACCGACTCCTCTGCCTTACTCCATCCATTTGTATCCAATGGTTGATTTGATAATTTACTAACATTGGCTTCTTGAATCTATAATTCAAGGCACTCTCTGGGCACTGAGAATATGCAGTGATTGGTTTTCCAATATTATGTGCTCTATCTGAAAATTATGCCAAACAGACGCTAGATAGTTGCAAAATGGGAAGTAATCAGAAGCTAAGCCATGCTGATCCTTATAACAACGAGTAGACCGATTAAGATAGTGAGGGCAAATTATCTGGACGCCCACCTGGGCAGTAAGTGTAGAACAGAACCATAAAAGAGGATGTCAAAGTACATTAAAAATGGATCAAAATAGCAGCCCCACCCAAAAAAAAACATTTATTTTTGGCAACAGTGGTAAATATATGTTTTTGTTTAAAAGTGTGACTCACAGATGCAGGACTATACAATACTTCAATTTTGCCTGGGTAACTCAAGTACTGGACTGTGTATCCTGATGTGTGGATCTATGCCAAGACTGGAGAAGCTTCTTAAATTGTAGATAATTGGAATCGGTTCTGAACCTGAAAAAATTATGAATTAATTACCATTATCATGATCACCAAGAAATAATCAGGCATTCCATACAGCATAAATTTGACGCAGCAATACCACGGTTATTTGAGCAGAAAATTCAGATGTGGCATTTCAAAACTGTATTAAGAAAAGACTGATCAAATATTCATAAACTATAAACTCAAAAGTTTACTGAAACACCACCCATTAATAACTGAAGAACAAAATTTAAAAAAACAGAAAAAGTATGTGACCCATCCCTCTCTGTCTTTTGATCTCTATCCAACCAGTTCCATTAAGTGTTCATTTGTGGGTTTTTCCCCATATGCATGCCATTTTTATGTTTCACATAAACAAACATCTCAAACTACTTCACAAATTCGTAAGCTTACAAGTGTACACAGACCAATAGTTACTTATTCTTTCAAACCCTTAAATTATCACTTTTCCTGCCAGTAAGTCATGGAATTTGGTTAACTTTCTGAATAGCTTGTAAACCCTCAGACTTTTTTTCAGTCAGTTGTTCTCAATAGCAATGCATCTCTTTAACACTATGACTACGATTAAAAGGCAAGTCTGTATATACAGTAGGCAAGGAGATAATAATAAGCCTTGCATTTGATATAGTGCCTTATCATGTCTTCAAAACGTCTCAAAGCTTTTCACAGAATATACTGTAAAGTGAATTGACTATATATTTTGTGGGCAAAATGTGGCAGCCAATTGCGCACAGCAGTGTCCCACAAACAGTCATGGATAAAAGTGACCAATTTTTTTTTTTTTTTGAAGGAGTTGTTACCCCTGGAAAAGTGATCCGTCAATCAATTAACAACCAGGTTCCTCCTTGCTGTTGGTAAACAGAGGCGTGTGGAGTAAGTAAATTAGCTGCTGTGTTCGCCTACAAAAAAAGTCACCACATTTTATGGTGAATTCTGTGAAGCACCTTGAGATATCCTTCTGACATAAAAGGAACTTTATCAAATGCAAGGATTGTTGTTATTTTTTGTAGATAAATTTAAATGGAACTGAGAAAGTAATCAAAGGATGGTACTTTTGCATGCACCGAGACAAGAGGACACAGGTTAAGGTGGAGTCCTGTAGCTCAGTGGTTTGAGTGCTCGCCTTGCAAGTGAGAGACCTGGGTTCGATTGCCGGCAGGGCAAAACCTTGGGCAAGTTTCCTTACTCCATATGCCTGATAATAATCCCTCAACAAAAAACAAATTTGGTCACTTCAATCCATGACGATTTGTGGGACACTGCTGTGCGCAATTGGCTGTCGGGTTTCGCCCACAAAATATACAGTCAATTCACTTTACAGAATATTCTGTGAAGCGCTTTGAGACGTCTAGAAGACATGAAAAGCACTATATCAAATGCAAGGATTATTATTATGGAAACTTGCCAAACATTTCACCCTGCCGGGAATCGAATCCAGGTCCTCTCGCTTGCGAGGCGAGTGCTCTAACCACTGAGAAACAGGACTAATAATAATCCTTGGATTTGATGCGCCTTATCATGTTGGCAAGACATCTAAAAGTACTTCCCAGGATATACTGTAAAGTGGTTTCTCTGTGTATCTTGTGGATGAAACCACTTTATATCCTGCCTCCTGCCGAAACAGGTGGATGTTAAAGAACCCATGTCATTATTCAAAAAGAAAGGGAGTTTCTTCCATTGTCATGGCCAAGAATACACAAAGTAAAATTTGTCATTTACTTCTGGGACATTGCTGGGTACAAATCGGCTGCTGCATTTATCTATAAAATGCAAAATCATCACACATTACAGTAATTCCAGTGAAGTGCTTTGAAGACCTCCTGATGTGAAAGGTGGTGTACCAAATTCAAGGATTATTATATTATATACTACTCGTTTTCACTAAGAAATCCTGTTTGAATCTCCAGTATCTCTTTAAAACAGGAGCCAACTCATTCTAATTGCAAGTTGTTTGAAAACAGATCCCCTACTGTCAGTTTTGATGTAATGTAAATCACGAGTATTTGTTCCAATGCCTCTTTAGTCATCACTTGACTGGGCACTGGGGGGGTTTCAAGAGACTCCTTGTTGATGTTACACCAAAACAATTCTCATGAGACGTCCCTTAGTAAGTGTGTGAATGGAGTATTTTTCACCCAGAAATCATAGTCAATTCACTTTGAGGTATATTCTGTGAAGCGCTTTGAGACATCTCAATGGCGTGATAAGGCGCTATATCAAATGCAAGGATTATTATTATGACTGTAGATAAACCATGCAAATCGATGAAGTTTCAAAACCAGTCTGTGCTACGCTAACCGATTGGGCGTGGAATCATTGTTTGCTGCGCTGACCCTTACTTGGGACGTTACTCTCCATGAGGTGCGCTATATAAATTGGTGTTTTTCTGATCTTCCTGGGGGAGGAAGATGGGTCAGTTTACTGCACTGACTACTGCCGGGGGGGCAGTCAATGTTTACTGCTCTTACTTAGTTGTGGGGAGGGAGCTGTTTATGCCCTGACCTTGCTGTGTGTGTGTGGCTTGGGGGGGTGTTTATGCCCTGACCTTGCTGTGTGTGTGTGGCTTGGGGGGTGTTTATGCCCTGACCTTGCTGTGTGTGTGTGGCTTGGGGGGTGTTTATGCCCTGACCTTGCTGTGTGTGTGTGGCTTGGGGGGGTGTTTATGCCCTGACCTTGCTGTGTGTGTGTGGCTTGGGGGGGGGTTTATGCCCTGACCTTGCTGTGTGTGTGGATTTTGGGGGGTGTTTATGCCCTGACCTTGCTGTGTGTGTGGTTTGGGGGGGGGTGTTGATGCCCTGACCTTGCTGTGTGTGTGGCTTTGGGTGTGTGTGTGTGTGTTTATGCCCTGACCTTGTTGTGTGTGTGGTTTGGGTTTTTTGTTTGTGTTTTTTTTTTTTTTTTTTATGCCCTGACTTGTTGTGTGTGTGGTTTGGGGGGTTTATTCCCTGACCTTGCTGTGTGTGTGGCTTTGGGGGTGTGTGTGTGTGTTTATGCCCTGACCTTGCTGTGTGTGTGTGGTTTTTTATGCCCTGACCTTGCTTTGTGTGTGTGGCTTTGGGAGGGGGGGGTGTTTATGCCCTGACCTTGCTGTGTGTGTGGCTTTGGGGGGGGGTGTTTATTCCCTGACCTTGCTGTGTGTGTGGGGGGTGTTTATGCCCTGACCTTGCTGTGTGTGTGGTTTGGGGGGGGTGTTGATGCCCTGACCTTGCTGTGTGTTTTGCTTTGTGTGTGTGTGTGTGTGTTTATGCCCTGACCTTGTTGTGTGTGTGGTTTGGGGGGTTTATTCCCTGACCTTGCTGTGTGTGTGGCTTTGGCTGTGTGTGTGTGTGTTTATGCCCTGACCTTGTTGTGTGTGTGGTTTGGGGGGTTTATTCCCTGACCTTGCTGTGTGTGTGGCTTTAGGAGGGGGGCGTTTATGCCCTGACCTTGCTGTGTGTGTGGCTTTGGGGGTGTGTGTGTGTGTGTTTATGCCCTGACCTTGTTGTGTGTGTGGTTTGCTGTGTGTGTGGTTTGCTGTGTGTGTGGTTTGGGGAGGGGGGGGGGGGGGGTCGTCGTTTGCTGAGGGAAGGATAACCGTTGCTCGGGGCGGCGCTGAGGATGTGAAGCGATGATAATGGCGGTGAGGATGAGGATGAGCGGAGGCGGCCGGAGCCGGGGGACGGCGGTGCTGCTGCTGTGGGTTTTCCTGCGCTGTTGCTCGGGGTCCAGCAGCGGCCAGTGGCGGGAGGCCTCGCCGCCCTGGGCCCAGTACTACGGCACCAAGATGCGGTACGAGGACGTGGCGGGAAGCGGGCCCGGCTCAAGCCGGGCTCTCGGCGGCTGTCAGGCGCTGCAGCTGAACGCGCTGATCCGACACGGCACCCGCTACCCGACTCGCAAGAACGTGCCGGCGATGAAGAGGGTGCACCGGCTGATCAGGGAGCGGGCAGACCGAGGCCTGGGCCTAGTCCGGGCCCTCGCCGACTGGCACATGTGGTACGACGAGCGGATGGACGGTCACCTGCACCCGCTGGGGGTCACCGACATGAGCGGCCTGGCCGAGCGCCTGAGCCGCTGCTTCCCCGAGATCTTCAGCCCGCGCCGCGACTGGAACCGGCGCCTCAAGTTCGTCAGCAGCTCCAAACACCGGTGCGTGAACAGCACCCGCGCCTTCATCCAGGCCCTGGAGCGGCTCCTCGAGCCCGGCGGCCGGGCTCAGCCGGGCGGCCGCTGGGAGGTGGACGACACGCTCCTTCGCTTCTTCGACCACTGCCACCGGTACATCCAGTCGGTGGATCGAAACCAGACGGCCATGCGGCAGGTGCAGCGCTTCCTGCAGGGCCCAGAGATGGGGGCGGTGATCGCCAACATGGCGAGGAAGCTGGGCATCGGGCCGGAGAATATAACCACTGGTCAGTGCCACGTACCTGCTGCCCCCATCTAACATTACCGTGAGCTGTGTGTTAGCACCAGTAAGAGTTCCGCCCCCCCCCCCCCACATAAATATCTCGGAGCACTTCACAAGGGGAGGGGACCATAGACACCTCTTCAGAGGTAGGTTTTCCAATGGGATTTTAAACTACAGTACAGGTACAGAGCTGTGTCTACTGCTGTATTAGTAATGTCATTCTAGTCAGTTGGGTGTTTGCAGAGACTGTATCTTGATCTCTTTTAATTAGCACTGTCCTATATTGGTAGTGTGACTCTCCTGCTGGGGGGGAGGTACCTGCCGAGGCAGACAAAGAGTTTGGGACCTGAGCTGGGGCTCAGGATCAGGGCGTGTGGGAGGGTGGGGGGGGGGGGACAGGGTGATCGAAAGCACGGTCCAAGAGCGGGTCTTGAGATGGGTCTCGAAGGAAGCAAAGGGAGGGGCCGAGGCAAAGGGACTGCAGGTTAGAGCTCCAGAGGGTGGGGGCAGAGTGGCGGAAGGCCCGCCCGTCAATAGTGGGACGAGCGAGCCCGCTGAGCAGATGGAGCGGGCAGGATGGTGGGGGGGTTAGGAGGTCGCAGAGATAGCGGGGTGTAAGACCATGGAGGGCTTTGAAGGTGAGGACCAGGATCTTGAACTGTATCCTCTGTGTGATGGAAGCCAGCGGAGTCGGGCAAGGATCAGGGTGATGGGTCACAGAGCCTGTTGCGGGAGAGGACACGGGCTCCAGAGTTCTGGATGATCTGCAGCCTGTGGAGAGAGGAGTTGGGGAGGCCGACAAGCAATGAGTTTACATAGTCAAGCCTCGATGTAATGAAAGCGTGTATGAGGGTTTCGGCAGCCTTTGGTGTGAGGCAGTGGTTAGAGCTGGGCGATGTTGCAGAGGTGGGGGAAGGCAGAGCGGGTCATGGCAGAGATGTGGGGTAGAAAGGATAGTTGAGGATCAAACCAAACCCCAAGGTTCCAGACTGGCTTAGCAAGGTGGAGTGTGCAACCATGGATGGTGACAGACTTTCTGTCAGGACAGCAGTGGTTCTGGAGTCTAGGGTGGAGGCAGAGAGGTAAGGTTCAGTGTCATCCGCATACATGTAGATAACCATACAAGCCAAATATAAATTTATAGTTATACATCAATTATATCAATCAATGCATCTCCATTACTTCAAATAAATGATTTTTTATCTGGTATGTCTAAATGAGTAAACAGCGAAGTTGGGGGTTAATTGGTGAAACTGAAACATTCACAAAAGATCACAGTGATGGCTTGTTTAATGACATTGAACTGATTTTATGTTTGATTCAATGTTATAACTCCTGATTTACTAACTATTTTCAGCACAAGTAAAATCTTGTTTGCTAGTTGATTGGTCTAGCCTTCAAATAAATGATATATTGTACAAAATATTTCAAATACTGTTAAATAATGTATGGCTGCATACCAGTCTCTTTGCCCATAGAACAATATTTTACTTTTCTGAGAATTATTTATTTTTGCTTTCCAGATATGGTTCAAGCCACATTTTACCTTTGTACATTCGAGTACGTTCTTAAAGATGTAGTTTCACCCTGGTGTGACGTCTTTGATAAAGAAGATGTTGAGGTAAATATAGAAAGTGAAATTATCCTCAAGTGAAGTTTACCCAATTCTTCTGATTTTTTTAAAAATGTGTTTGGAAGCACAACATACATGCAACAGTTCAATGACCATGTTGGGTGATGCACTAGAAAAATTAACTAGAACACAATGAAGCTATCTCAGTTAGTAATCATTGGTGGAATAATATCTTTGCACAAAGGGAATATCCAAAAAGGGAGGTTCCTGGAGGAAGGAAACGAGTTGTTTTGTTCAAAAAGATAATTGCTGAGAGTGTTGCACATTATATATTATTTGCATTGCAACAAAAGATTTTTGCGTTCATTTTTGTGGACTTTGTGCGCTTATGGCAAAACTGGCAAAGTTTCATTCATCTGTAGCACGGACAAAGTGTTTGTCTTCTTACTCACTGAACACTGAAGCACTTGAATAGGAGTGTTTGTACAAGTAAATCACAAGTGTTGAAATGTGTTAAAATATATTGACTATCACCTCGGAATACATTGGTATATTGGTATACAAACAAATGTTCCAGGAGGTTTGATAGTTAAACTGGTTAAAAGTAGCTTTGCTGGACAGGCTGAGGTTAGCTTCTGATTACATTTCATATTGGGGGAAGTAATGAACTATCAAGTCCTTGAGTATAGTTGTAAGAACGATGGACCACAGAAAGGAAAGGCTGCAGCCTCAGACACCTACCTACCTCAAGGCTGAGAAACAAGCAGATTGTGTAAGGCTACCCAGAAGTTGTCCATATCTCTCTCTCTCTCTCTCTGCAAAGCAGCCTGCAAAGGATGGGGGCTATCTCTGTGGCAAGGGGAGGTGAAGTTAGAAACACACAAAGGAAAGATGTAACTTTGAAATAGTTGGAGTTGTGTAGCGGGTCAGCACACTTCCCAATGGAATCAATATCAATTCTACTGTATCAATGTATATGTACAGGGGTGAGGGAATTTATCTCCAGTGAGAAAGTGACCATTAAAAGTGAAAGAGGGGAAATAGTGGTTAATATGGTTTTGGTTCTGTTTGCTAGGCAGAGAAGTAATAACAGTAGTAGTGGTTGGTCTGGGAAAACACAGAAGTCAGATTAAACAGCACGAGTTAGCTGCTGGGCTAATAGCTGATTGGGTCTGTTGAGTTTACCGGAGCCATTCTGTGATTTGGTGTTACCATTGTAGATTGAATTTTGTTGTGTATGACTAGTTGGGTCCAATGGTTTACCGGACGCCAGTCGCTGTTTAGTGTTGGTATTACAAGAGTCAGTTGTCTCTATGAGGGGGATTTCCAGGGGCTGATCTCTCCAGTGTGTGTCTAGGAGTGATCCCAGGTCTGCTGTTTGGTCTGGAGTACGGAACAGTGTCTGGAAGTGTGTTTATTTCATATATCTGTGTCGTATTATTGTGTTGTTGTATGTCATAAAGCTAATTATAGTGAACTTTACTGCTTGTTTTATAAAATAAACACTATACTCTTATACTGTCGAATTACTAACAAATGGTTTTATATTGAAGGAAAATTTCAGGCAGCATGTTCAAATTTAATACGCTATCTGTCAAAACATCCCATTCATGAATTATCCAAATAAAGATTTACAACTAATATATTACCAAGAGAGCTTCAGAACAAGACAACCTTCCGCGTTTTTTATCTCATCCTTGCAGAATATCAACTCAGCTGCTTCCATTATAAGATCAAGCTGCTTTGCAAATGAGGCTAGTATCCTGAGCATAATCACCCGGAAAACTGTTCCAGCTATTGTTTACTCTCTCTAACATTGTTCAGCACCATTTAAACATTGTGTTTTGACCAAATGGCTACTGCAGATTTAAAGTGTGACATATATTTAAGGTACCTAATGAGATACCATATATTTATAGCTGCTTTTGCAACTGAAAGAGTTCCTTCAGTACATTTGTGAAAATTAGGTTTGTACTGATCGCCACTGTTATCAAAATTGGCAATTCGATGAGCTGACTGCTGGTACTTATAGATCAGTGGATGTCTGTAGGATCCTGTCTAATTAAGTAAGTATGTTCAGTCTGAAATATCTTAAGAATGAGACAATAGGTCAAAGCTTCATTGTTGCATATAAATGTTTCTTAACTAATCTCTCTGATTATCTATTTAATTTCTAGAAGTTGGAATATTGGGGTGATCTGAAACATTACTGGAAGAGAAGTTATGGCCATAAAATTAATGGGCTTTCCAGCTACAATCTGTTTCAAGACATATTCCAGCATTTGGATCAAGCAGTAGAAGAGAGTGAGAGGTATGTGTCTTAAAGGTTATAGTTGTGAAAAATGTCACAATAGCAGGTTGTTTAATGTTTTTCTTTTGTTTGATGAAAAACTTGTTCATTTCATAGTTCAATATTCAGATGCAGTCTAAGGATATTTAGCAGCAGTGCCATAAAGTGCCTTTAAAGAAACTTTTCACAAAGTGTTGGAATATATTTAAAAAATGATTTGATTTTCAGCACTCCACTTTTTTGGCAAAAAAAATCTTTAAACATCTTGACTATCCAGCTCTTTGGGACATGACAACAACAACAACAAGATTCCATTTATAGAGCGCCTTTCACATCGGGAGGACGTCCCAAGGCGCTGTACAGTTGGGTCAGGACCCGAGCAGGGGGGAAATGGTCAGGGTGAGGGAAGGGAGGGAGGGAGCGAGAAGGGGGTAGAGAGTCGAGAGGGGAGCTGAAGGCACGGTCAAAGAGAAAGGTCTTGAGACCGGCCTTGAAGGAGGAAAGGGAGGAAGCAAGGCGAAGGCACTGGGGGATGGAGTTCCAGAGCCAAGGGGCTGAGAGGCTGAAGGCCCGGCCACCGATGGTAGAGCGGTTGGGGCGGGGGATGTGGAGCAGACCGGAGTCAGAGGAACGGAGGGTACGGACAGGTAAGTAGGGGGATAGTAGGTCGGAGAGGGTAGGAGGGTGCAAGGCCGTGAATGGCCTTGTAGGTGAGGATGAGGATCTTGAATTCGATCCTCTGGAGGATGGGAAGCCAGTGGAGGCGAGCGAGGGTGGGAGTGATGTGGTCACGAAGCCTGGTGCGGGACAGTACACGAGCTGCAGAGTTCTGAATGACCTGCAGCTTGTGGAGGGAGGTGCCGGGAAGGCCGGCGAGGAGAGAGTTCCCATAGTCCAGCCTTGAGGTGATAAAGGCATGGACCAGAGTTTCAGCAGCGTGAGGGGTGAGGTAGTGCCGTAGTCTGGCGATGTTCCAGAGATGACGACGTGAAAGCCGCTACACAAATGTAATTTGTTGTCCTAAATCGTACATTATTCCACAGTATTAATCATCTCCCAACTCGTAACACCGCTCCCTGATCCTCCATTGCTCCCACAATAACTGGCTGCATTGAATCAAGGGAAATAATGTCCTGACCTATCCACGCAAGCACACTTACCAACCGGCTGCAGTAATGAACTAACGTATGCGCACTTATTGGCTGCATTGAATTACGCATGTGCAGTGTCGATTATTGATTAAATCAGATTTTATTCGACTTATACAGTTTGCCTGTAACTCAGACTTTGCTTAAGTCATATTAAATGTAAAAGATCTAACTGACATAATTGATGTGAGTTTCACTGCAGAACTAGTTCTTAAAAGAGCAAAAAGGGTGCTGCTTTCTGGAATCTGCCTAATTTATTTTGCAGGGTGGATTTCAAAGCCCTGGTGGCAACATGAAAGTAACTAGACACAGGTGAAACTGCCTTTTTGTGGCCATTTCTTTCCTAATCTCCTGGGAAGCACCCGACAAGCAGAATGCCAAAGCCTGACCTATATTACTGTCTGCCACTGTCATCAAACTAAAATGAGTTTCACATTTCAAATGAATTCTGTGCCTTCGCAAACTAGAAATCCAGTGCTGCCATCTGTTGTTTCATTACTGAACAGACAATACTAGAACTCCTTTTCCAGTATCTTATAACTAGACTAGCTGTACCCGTTGCAGCTACGCTTGCAACCAAAGGATCCAATAAGGAATGTAGATTTCAGTATTATTATTCTTTATATTATGTTATTATACTTTACATTATTATTATACTTTATATTATTATACTTTATGTAAGATTATTATACTTTATACAACAATAGAGATTCCCCCAAAAAATGCGCATGGCTTTCTCTGTCGCTACTTTGTTGCATGCATACCTCATTTTGGGGCTTAATTAAAGCATTTGTTAAGCATAGCACATCAACGATAGGAGATCCCCGAAAAAAAATATGCCCATTACACTCACGCAGGCAAGACTTTTCTGATGAGGTATAAATCATGTCTCTACGTCAATCGGTTATTGCGTTATTGGCAGACACAAGGGCACACAGACAGACATTATCGTTTTATTAGTAATAATGTGGCATTGAATAGTAATAATCCTTGGATTTGCTACAGTGCCTTTCAAGTTGAGAGGACATCTCAAGATGTTTTACAGGATTTATTGTGAAGCTTAATGACTAAAGTTTTTAAGTGAACTTGGCAGCCACTTTGCATGCATCATTATCCAACAAACAGCCATGAGGTGAAGGACCAGTATTGTCTGGGGGTTTGTTGGCCAGGATACTGAAAAACACTCATTTCTCTTTATGAATAGTACCATGAAATCATTAAATAGGAAGATGGGACTTTGGTTTCATGTCTCATCCAAAGGATGGCACCTCGAACAATGCACTGTATCTCCCAGTACTGCATCGGAGCATCAGCCTTAGACTATGTGAATTCAAAGTCCCGACGTGGGGTTTGAACTCACAACCTTCTGGCTAAGAGGTGAGAGTTCCACCGACTAAACGTCGATATAACCTTGTAAGATCAACTCTAAAATCTAGTGGGAAAATGCAGCTGCCTAATATTAGGCGTAAAAAAGAACAAGACAATAGCCCAGTTCATTTATTCAAGGCAAGTTATTTTTCAGATTTATTCCACTTATCAGAAAATCAAGTGGTACCACTTGATTTGGAACAAATTCTGCATTCTGTTGCACTCTTCTGATTATTATACTAATGTGATGTACCTATTTCTGGGGTAATAATCCCTTTTAAAAAATATATGGTCACTATCCATGACTGTTTATGGGACACTGCTGTGTGCATTGGCTGACGCGTTTCATCCACAAAATACACAAAATCAATTTACTTTACAGTATATTCTGTGAAGCGCTTTGAGAAAATCGCAAAGACATGATAAGGAGATATATCAAATGCAAGGATTATTTTTTTTTGTGTAATGGTTAGGAGTTATAGCCATAATTACGTGTTGCAAGTTCCCAATATAAATTGAGCCATGAGGCAGGAAAAAGTGGAAGGCAGGTCAACTTGAACAGCTTTCATACACACTGGCCTCAGTATTACCAACCATGTTTGAGAAATTCCCACTAATTCAGCACATGGACAATAATGAAAGTTATAATTAAGTTATATGATCTGGTGAAATTTTCTGGGAAGTAATTATATCCACGCATTTGAAATGAATTGTAGGGATGCAGGGAGCAAGGTTAGTATGTATCAATGGTTTATGGTTTGAGCTCAAGTTTATGGTGATGTTAAAGATCCCATGATACTATTTGAGAAGAGAAGGGAATTTATCCCAGTGTCTTCACCAGCAGTCCCTCAAATAAAGTAGGTCACTATGGTTGTTTGTGGGACATTGCTGTGAATAAATTGGCTGTCACATTCTCCCACATAATGCACAGTCACAATACCTCACAGTATGAAGCAATTTGAGATGCTTCAATTATATCAAATGCAAAGAATATGATATAGGGTACAGGATTATGTTACAATGCTCTATATAATTAATGCCAAGAAAAAGTAAAGGTTGAAATTAACTGCAAGATGAAATTTGAGTAGATTTGTGGCAAGCTTGACTGACTCTAGGCTGCATGCTAAGCAGTCATGTTATTTCCATATCTCATGTAGTGAATGCTCCTATACAGAAGGAGAGGAATAATGTTGATTTTCAATAAAAAGAGATCTTAGATTTGTTATCCAATGTCCTGTTTTGATGAATTGTTTACTTTCCACCCACAATTTTCACCTTTCCCCATCTGAGAGAGAACATGTAGGTAAATAGTTCCCGTACCTCTTCTACTGCCATTCTTAAACAAGTTACTGGTTAGCCCTCATTAGACCACTTTGTAGTGATGTACATTGCCCTGCTTGGCCACCCTGTTAATTTAGATGTTTGTGAACAAAACATCCAGCCTGTTGATTCCTAAATATTCGTTACACATCCCGATAATACATGTGATGGCAGATACTTTAAACTGAACACGTGATCCATATTGAGACACACTTGTGTTAAAACTGCTCAAATTTCAGCTAAAGTGAACAGTTGTGTTTCTGTAGGAAGTTCCAAAACTTCCCCAACAAGTTGCTCAATTTCTTACTGTCATGTTTCATGGTTCACTTTTGTAATCACTGATGCTTACTTTGCTAAAAACAAGGATGAAGCAAGTATATTCAGCCAAACTAAAAATGGTGGCACGTCTTAAAAAACAAAGTTCATTGTTAACTTATGGACTTGTGGAGTCCTGTAGCTCAGTGGTTAGAGCACTCGCTTTGCAAGTGAGAGACCTGAGTTCAATTCCAGGCAGGTCAGGGCGAAACCTTGGGCAAGTTTCCTTACTCCACACGCCTAATAATAATCCCTCCAAAAACAAAAAACAATAATAAATTGGTCACTTTCAATCTACGACTGTTTGTGGGACATTGCTGTGCGCAATTGGCTGCCGCGTTCGCCCACAAATATACAGTCAATTCACTTAACAGTGTGTTCTGTGAAGCGCTTTGGGACGTCCTCCCGACGTGAAAAGCGCTATATCAAATGCAAGGATTATTATTATTATTATTATTATAGTAGTAATACTAATCCTTGCATTTGATATCGCGCCTTAACACATCATTGATACATCTCAAAACAGCTTTACAGAAAATTACTTTCAATCACAAATAGTTTTGATTAAAACTGTGGCACAATATGTCTCCTCCCAAGTTATTGTACAAACCATTGTCATCTTTATGTCTGCAAACCATTCCAATCTACTCACAGGTTCAGCCCTAATGTTGGCACATAGCTAATGTAATTTAGTGTTCCATCAGTTGTAGACATTATTTAATTGCAAAACTGACTGATTTCTTAATATCCTGTTGCCTTGGCTGAGGCCATGTAGCAATCCAATATTAGCATGTTTAACATAGGGTTTAACATTTGTAGGATTTTTGTTTTGTGATAGTGGTGAATAGTGTATTGTCCCTTATTGAAAAACATTCACTACAACTTGGTATTAACTTGCGGGACACTGCTATGTGCAAATGGCTGCCACATTTTGCCCACAAAATATACAGTCAATTCGCTTTTCAGTATATTGTGTGAAGCGCTTTGAGACGTCTCAAAGACATGTAAGGCGCGATATCAAATGCAAGGATTATTATTGTTATATCCTGTTTTTCCTTTTTTTAAAAGATGTAGACAAAGAAAATCAAATTACATTAGCGAATTTGATATCCATGCTAATTGAGACATTACGGATATGAAAACTGTGGCTTATCCTGGTGCAGATGCTTATGCTCTACCTGGTAACTTTTTTTTAACATCACAGCCCGACTTCCCTCTGATGGAACTACGATATGGAGGATGGTCTAAAATTCAGTGGCCTTCCACTATACTTAATTCTCCCTTCTTAAGTAACATCTCTGAAGAGACAAAATGTAACATCAGGCTCACCAAACTTCCTTTGCATAGAGAGCACCACAGACCCTAATGTCTAGGCACAATACAGGTTAGAAGGACAGTATCTAATTTCATGTTGAATATGTGAACAGAGATCTATTCGGTGGATTGGATTTTCTGCGTATGGATGGTTAGAAATGCAGCTGAGCAGTCTTTTGCTTAATTATTATAGAATTTTACAGCACGAGCAGCCATCATTTATTCCTCATGTCTTTGCTCATTCAACATTCAAATATTACCAATGTGTTCAATGTGTCCAAATGTGGCTCATGGGCCACCTGTTGGACCACATTGCTTTAGATGATCACATCTTTGTCAAAAAGTTAGTAAAATGCATAGGCAAGCTTGAGGTCACTTATGTAAGATCATTTTGTATATCAATATAATATAACAGGAATTCAATGAAATCAATTTAATTTACAAACTCCATAGAATCACATTTCCTGTACGTTTAATTCTTGAAAAAAGCATGCCTACAAACATGTTCAATCAATAATTTTTAAATTCAGTTTGATTGTTCACCCTGTTTGCTGTACTAGTTTAATAGAATTAAAGTGATGCCTTTTCTTTAGGGTAAATTGAACTCTGGAAAAACAAAATCTATTGCTACTCTTAGGATTCTAATTACTTTTGGATGATCCTTTCAATGAAGCATATATCAATTTATTCACTTATTTGGCCAAGTGCTTGAGCTGCCTTGGGACGCTATGATGAAATCAGGTTTCTGTTGGCCCCTCAGTCAAATGATTAGGAAAATAGAAAATAATGTTGGCATATGCACAAAGCACAATCATTTTTTTTCACTATCAAAAAGCTGGATTTACTCCATTTGGTCCACAGATCATTTATAGAACTGTCAAGAGCTTTGAAAGAATGAGAAAGCAAGGGGGTGCAATTCATATCAGTACTGAAACCACTTCCTCAAGGTAGTGTTTGGAGCGAGTTTCCCAGATCATGACTCCCCCCCCATTTATGCTGTGATTGTATAAAAGAATGAAAATTGCATGTTGCACAATAGATTGCAGTCAGAATTCTGGGAATTCTCTTCTTACAACCCATGCATTAAGCAATTCTGAATTGTCTCTTATTACCAATGACCAGACTTTTTTTAAAAAAATTTAATTTTAAAACTGCCAACTTTGTGTGAGCTAAATGTTTTTGCTTGTCGTGCTTCAGATTTTGAATAATCCCTTGATCCATTGGCTGGATTAAGGCCATGGTGTTTGGAGGAAGAAATAGCAATTTAATTGCTCATAGACCTTTGAGGGAAGGCGGACAGAGCAATTATGGACGAATAACGTTATTTTCCGATCAAGCATGGTCATCTTGCATTCCAACTTTTGAACCCATTTGGTGAAAATATCAGATGTCATCCAGGCTTTGGCTTTGGACTCGTAATTCACTGGTAGATGATTTATATTTTGAAGCATCGTGGGTTTTTTGACTTTCCTATTGTGAAAACCTGTAGGTTATCTGTTCCAGTAAGAAACTCGGTCTTGAGGTGGTTTACCCCCAGTACAGGGTTGTCCCTTAATGCAAGTTTTGTCCGGGATGCACCTGAAAAAACAAGGTACTCTCTTCCATGCTGTAAATTCGAGACATGTTGCATTTGAAATAGCTCCTTCTCACGTCTTCGAGACGTCTCAAAGCGCTTCATGTGTACGTGCTTCACAATTTCCACGGAAAGAAATATTTCGGGCACTGCTAAAACACGCATTCATTAAAATCGACAATGAATCAAGTCATATTAGCTGTTTGAACTCTCCAGTGCTAGATATAATCTTCCAGCTGTTTGTGAAGATAGAATTGAAATTTTTAACCTGTAGTAAATCCAAGATTTCTTTCTGAAATTGCTACAATTAGCTTGGTAATACAACTTAAACTGTATATTGCTTTAAAGATACTAACAAAGAGCTACTTTGTAGCAGTTCTTTATGAAACACTTTGAGATGTTTGATGTTATATGCACCATTTCAAAAGCAACAATTGTTAAATACAAATTTGGTTCATTTACATTCATTTCCAATAGTTGCTGGGTTAGTGATTTCTGCTGTCACCTCCTTTTTAGAACAAATATGTCTTTTGAATCCACGCTCAAGTGTTTTAAAGTTAGTCAATATAAAAACAGTGAAAACATTCATTGCTCGATGTTAAACTGATAAAGAGAAACTCATTGTAATGTTTAGAACAATGTTGGGCAGCATTCTCCAAACAGGATTTAAATAACCAAACTAAAGTAGTATACTTGTACTAATAACCTTACAAATTGGGTGCATGAAGACTTAAAACATTCTTTGATAGTTTTAATGAAACCACTACTAATTAGTTGATATGTTGAACAGCATCAGACTGTATAATTTTGTGGTTGCTGGGTTATTTTGAATACTTCTAAAATTTTATGATCAGACAATTTATACGCATTTATTTTCTTTGTCTTCTCTCAACCTCAGGGGCGAATACATATCTCATACTGCTGTTCTGCGTTTTGGACACGCAGAGACTCTTCTACCAATCCTTACTCTTATGGGCTATTTTAAGGACAAGAACCCATTGTTAGCAGATAATTTTGCTGAACAAAAGAATAGAAAATTCAGAAGTGGTCGGATTTCACCCTTTGCTGCAAATCTCATTTTTGTGCTATACCGGTGTGAAAAAGCACAAGATCTAGCAGAAAAGTACAAACTACAGCTGTTGCTGAATGAGAAGCCTCTGCCATTTCTTCACAATGGAGATTCTGTTGCTGGCTATGGAGAAGTGAAGTCCCACTATGAACATGCCCTAGAAGTGCGCAGTTTTGACAATGTATGTGAGGTTGCTGCTCAAGAAGCCTTAAATGTTACACATTGTGGTGAATTGTAAGCTAAGTGCACTTGGTCAATGATTTGTAAAAGTGAAAACTTCACAGAAATGTAAACATTTGTTCAAGTCATTGATTTGACCTGGAAAAACTAATTGCTGTATGGGTTTTTACCAGATTTGGGATAAGTGCATATATCTTATTTTAAGCACTTCATTGAGTGAGATACTGATTTTTTAAAATATAAGTACCCTTAACATTATGCGTACAGTTAAATTGCACAAGTCCATGAATAGGTAGGTACAGGTTGTTAATGAAATTTCCAAAATAAAATTGATGCTGAACCATCAAAGACATAAACCTCCTTTTGGACTTAATGTCTTAAGAAATTAAGACTCTTCCTGTCCGTAAACTTAAAACTGATTTGCATTCCAAAAACAAGAATTAGCAAATTGCCAAATCAATACTGGACAAATCATTATAACATCTTATAATGGCTTTCAGGGTGTAATGAAGCTTACAGCAAGTTTTTAAACTTTTGCTGAATCAAATGGACATTGAAGCATTTTTGCCTTGATCTACCGTTCTTCAAAAATATGAGTTTGTCATAGCAATATTATCTCGTAATATTCAAAACCACTACTTTGTTGGTTTCTCCATCTCTCTATCACTAAAAATATTTTTTATATACAGGTGTGTGAAGACAACATCCTTTTCATTTTCATTTTCTTTCTGCTTCTCCTTTTACTGTTTTCAATTTACTGTAAAGAGACAAATTTAGTTCTTCAATGACTCAAGATATCTTTATTCACAATTCCAGATAATTGGAGTTGTGGTACAAATTAGCCATGATCTTTTAGAATGGTGGAACAGGCTCGAGGGGCTGAATGACCTACTCCTATTCCTATGTTCCACACATGTAATGCTGTGAGAGGGATCCTGGTGTGGGACAGGAGCACGGCATCTAGTACAGCAGAGGAATCCTCACCTGAGTCAGTTGAAAACACAGCCTCAGTTGACCTGTAAAATCCACTGCCCCATTAGGACATATTGTGATATTGAAGCACTTCACCTTTGAGAGAAGCAAAGTCTGGTTGGACAACCCTTGGTCTACAGAGGCCCCAAAAATAAAGAATAAGGGTAGATAAGTTTGAAAACAAACTGAAAGGAAAGCAGAAAGAAATTGAAAGGAAGAGAAAGAAACAAAACTGGAGCCTAATTTCAAGAAGCAGAGTTGTGAACAGAACCAATAACCATTAGAAGCAGCAGGGGAGGCACATCTGGAGGGAGCTTTGCTGGGACAGAGAAGAGCATGTGATGAACTCATTCTAGCAGCTGCAGGAACATGAATGTAAAGATGCCATTTGGGCCAGTTGGAAAGACGTCTAAGCACATTTAGTCATGAAGACAACCACAATTGTCTTAACGGCTGAAGATTGATATGACCAACTCTTAAGTGCTCCACCAAATAGATGAACCAGATTCTTTTGGTTGCAAATATTTTATCTAGTTCTGATAGTCATCAAAGTTTTGATATATAATCTTATATTTGGAAAAAATAATGCTTTTGTGTTATCTCTGCTTAAACAAAATATATACTCTACAAAAGGGAATACATTAAAAACGGTTTAAAACTTAAGTGTAACATTGGAGAACTCATTTAGTGATAACCTGCCTGGTATTTTCTCGACTAATAATGTTATAAAGTGGGACACTTATACAAAAGCATTATTTGTACGCTTAAAATATTTGACATCACATTAGGAGAGCAAACCAAAGCCACATTTCTGCATTTCAGTCTTAATGTTAAGTCATTTTTCTTAAAAAAAAGATTTCTTACAATCATCATTCCAATGAGGAAATGCTGTAATTTGTTTTTAAGGGTATGAAATGCATCCATTTTATTCTTGTGTAGAAATGATTCTCATCCAACAAGGATAGTCCTGATTTAGGTTTAAGGTAATTGAACAGTTGCTACAAACCATCATGTGAATAGAATTTGTTTTCAGCTTGGGAACAACAGAAGAGAAAAATCAACCCAAAGAATCTAAATTGCCTACTTTGAGAAACGTAATAACAGAAAATATTATTGACAATAACTGCTTGATTTACTGAAGTTCTTGGGTATTTATGAATTCAAGATGTGTGCAGTGCATTTTTGTGTACTTTAGGTGTGCATGAAGAGAAAGCAGTAGTTTTGCACTGTTGTAATATTTGGACTGTCTTGTAATAGAAAACCATTTTAATGGATTGGACGAACCAATTTGGACAACAGCAAGAATTGTTGCAATGTTTTTTGCCAAGAATATAAAAGTAGTATTAAAACCTAGTTGTGCGGACCTGTGGCATGCAATAATAAAGTGGATGATTGAAAAATGTGATGCTTCATTATATTATAAACTATTGTAATTTATAAGTAGTTCAATGTTGTTTGGGGGAATTGAAATGAATACCATATTCAAACATGCTTGCGAACTTAAAATAAATTTTGGTTCCAATTAAAATGACTGGCCTGAAGACAGTTTGGTATCCTATAAACACAATGCTAACCATACAAAACAATAATACATTCTTAATTTTCTGTTGTTTATCTGAAAATTCCAGTTTCATTAAAAATAAAGTTGATCTGCACTAAGGTGGTTAAACAAAAAAAAATCACTCTAGTGTAAAACAGTCTTGGATTTGATTACAACAGTTAGATAATTTCAGTCACTGATTCACCAGACCTGATCGTTTAAACATTTATTTGCAAAGATCATTTATGCAATCAAGTACTTAAAGGTTACTTAATACTTCTTCAGGTCTCATAAGGATGTCCACATTGAGATTGACACTGGAGTCCTGTAGTTCAGTGGTTAGAGCACTGAGATCTGGGTTTGATTCCCGGCAGGGCGAAACCTTGGGCAAATTTCCTTACCCCACACACCTGATAATAATCCCTCAAGAAAAAAAATAATAATTTGGACGCTCAACTATGACTGCTATGCAGAATTGGCTGCCGTGTTTGAGACCTCTAGAAGACGTGAAAAACACAATATCAAATGCACGATTATTATTATGCCTGTGACACAAAATTAACTGTTTCAATGACAATTGTAAATTGTATTACAAAGTATTCAAATAACTATTTATACAGTAGCCTAGCAATGCCAAGTCATTCAGTACACTTTAAACCTTTACAATAAGTTATTTTACAACCAGGATGTGACTAATCAAAAACAAAATTGCGAAAGCTGTTTTCCTTATACAAAAAAGTTTTGATAAAATTGTAACCATTTTCTAATTTAACTCATTAGGAAGTATTTACTGGATGTTGGCATTTTGGCAGCATTTTCTAACAAGGGATTGCCTTGAGATTTTCAATTAACAACAAATCTGGCTTCAATCGCAAATTAGACTATTTCACTTCTTTTTCAATGATGAAAGATTGCTTAAATTTATCAAAGTCTAACAAAAATTGATACTTGGCTTAATCTAAGTGTTAACAAATCAAATTTCAAATGGTGTAATGCAGACACAAGTACCATCCTGGTGCAGTTGGTGGCACATTTGTCTGAGTCTTGAACCCATTTGTGGGTTCAAGACTCGTATCGAAATGTCAGGAATGATTAATGTAGGTTGCAATGTCAAGCAAAACTTCTGAAGTTTCTCTTGATTACCTTTCGAAAGGAATGGTAGAACCTTTCCTGAGAACATTAAAAGTTGGGAAGAGCCCACAAAAGTGTAAAGGTGAATTCGCTAGTGGACAAAATAAGATTGTTGTGTCAAATGGTGTATTTTTCTAGAACAGGAGCTAACTGGATAGAAAGTAAACCCAGAAAATGTAATCACACAAAGTGCTTACAATGTAGAAGAAAATAGATACAGAATCAAAAGGGAGATAATTATAATTGTTGCATTTGTTATAATAATAATCCTTGCATTTGATACAGCGCTTTATCACTTCTTTGAGACGCCTCTAAGTGCTTCACAGAATATACTATAAAGGGAATTGACTGTTTATTTTGTGGGTGAAACGCGGCAGCCAATTGCACACAACAGTTACCACAAACAGTCGTGAATTGAAGTGACCAATTATTATAGTGACAAAGTACAACATACAGTGACCAATTTGTGCACAGCAACTTTCCACAGATTATCATTAAGTGAATTTATCTGAAGGATTTTTAACCAAGAAAATGTTAACATCCACCTGAACATGCAGATAACATCTTATTTGACAACATAACTACACTGGTCTCAGCCTGAACTATGAGCTTCTATGGAGCATCTTGAATCTTGAATCCTTTGACCTTGCAGGGAGTGCTACCAACAGAGCCAAGCTGAATATAGTATGCTTTTATTTGAGTAGATATTTTCTTGTATTTTGTCAGTTTTTAGTTCCTCTTTAGATTTCGCTGATTACAAAAAACAAGATAATCTTTAGATACATGAAAATAATTAACTGTTTCAACAGGGATTACCTAATATGTAGCATTTCTTGGAAACTGGAATAACCACAATAGTGGTACGGAAACAAACTACAGTCAAAATTGCTGCATTCAATTCCCCATGGACTCCTTCTTAATCTCTCTGAATTTAAATCCATGAAGAAAGCAACAGGTACAATATCCACATAGAAGATGATGGATTAAATGGACAAGGTGAAAGCAGAGTTAATTTTCAGAGTGAAACTACCATGGATGTTTTTAACTTAATGTAATGTTTTGAAGTAATCGTCCTTAAATGTAATTAGAATGGAAATGTGGAAATAAAACTACAGTAATAAGGGGAATTCTATTTTTTTCTGGCTTAAATCAGCAAGAGATCACAAACCTTTTGAAATTTTGAAAAAAAGGCTCTTACTTGCCTTTGATAACTGAACCAGTGCCCTCTTACACTGCTACCTTGGCTTATTTCAACATGTGGTTCTCCCTTTATTTCCTATACCCAATTTAGTATTTAATTTGGCAATGTTTGCTGTTTTTGTTGCCACCTTACCGAGTGAATTCGTAGACCTAGACCACTGTCCATAAACTGCAACTAACCTCCACCACCTGCATCCTCATCCACACCAAACTCTGCATATCTATTACCCCAATCCTCGTCAGGCTCTACTGGCTTGCTACCTCCAAACAGATCAACTTCAAGGCCTTCACCTTGCATCTCCCCATCTCTCCACCCATTCCAAATCTTCTCCTGTTTCTTCCAGTTGTTAAATAATAATATAATAATAATCCTTGCATTTAATATAGCGCTTTTCATGTCTTCTAGATGTTTCAAAGCGCTTCACAGAATAGACTGTAATGTGAATGTGGACAAATACCCTTTAAGTAAATAAATTATGTCTGTGCTGAAATCTCCTGTTGCAAT